AACAGTGCATTTTCAAACTCTCAGATTTGTCTGTATTAATAGTGTCCCATTGTAGTATGATGAGTATGGTGGGGAAGATAGCTGGGGATCCATGAACCCAAGTCAGAGAGAGGCTGCTTCTTAATGCCCTTACACATGGCCAAATTGAAGAATCATTACAAAGTTAGAACTACACAAAGAGTTTGCAAATGAAATCTCTTTAAATTCACACAAAATATATTTTTCAAGCCTCACTGTGAGATTCCCTTGCTCTGTCACTGATTTCAAAGACAATTTCTTTAAAAAACCCCACAATGCTAGCATGCTACAGATTAGTGCAAATTAAATTAATACAAATTTAAATAGTATTTAAAAGTTCTCTCTTTTATCTTTGTCTGAGAGGAGAATGAAATGCTCAGTTTGAAAAGAAGTAATTTTCTAGGCAAATCATCAGCGCTTGTTTTCCTGCTTACCTTGGGGGAAATGCAGGGTTCCTTTCTTCTCAGACTTTTCTGAGAGCTAGAAAGAGGTCCTGTTACTTCCAGATGCTTTTGTTCTTCTGTCCCTCTGTCACATGGCTTTGCCTTTTATATTTGCAACACACAAAAGTTAGTACTGTTGTTTAAGTGATACAGGGTGGGGGTGGGGGAGGGAATGCCAAATGGAAAAGTGCCATTGCAGTCATATATCAATCAGGTGGGCGGCTATAGCAGCACGCTAGCAAATGGGAATACCACAAAAATGCAGGGCGCTAGTTATCTGTATGCGTGGCCGCTGCCCACCCCTGGCTCTCTTCCAAGGAGCGTCTTAGATTAGTAACAACATAGGCGAACAAGGGAGTTTCTTTCTTATTCTTTTTGTTGTTGTTGTTTTTCAAAGTTTTCCCCCTTGCTTTTTTGTATTATAGTAATAATAAGGAACTAAATGAACATTTGAAATGTGATTCTTTAGTAAGCATGTGGCTGCATCCAGGATGCGCAGTCAGCAATAAAGACACATACTTGCAAAATACAAAGATAAGAGTGGCATGCCATTTAATCATTCAGCAGCTGACTGTGATGAAGTTGAAATTCTAAGGAAGGGGGGATAAAGATGGGAAACCGAAATATTTCTCAAGGGATACTATTGAAATGAACCTAAAACGCTGCCCTCTTTTAGCATGACCTGTGTGGATGGTGTGATTTCGTTTTTTCTGAGTTGTTAATCCATTAAGGTTTGGGGGTTTTCTTAGGAGTATATACATGATAAATCCTCAATGGCATTAAAATAAGGACCTTCATCTACATCTTTAAAATAAAAATTTAGATGTGATCTCAAAACAATGAGAAAGTTTGGTCCATGGCTTCTTGAGACAGGAGAGTGTGGATAGATAGTGGAATACAATAACTGGTAGAAAAATAAAGATAATTAAGTCCTTGTAGGCTAAATGTCTGCTAGCTATTAGCTATGGGAAGAAAAATGAAAAATTTCCTAATTAAATTGTCTTTCAAAATCTTACATTTAAGACAAAAACCTATCAGTAGTCTTTACACAACAACCACTAGTCCATTTATAAAATTTTTGTTTACCAAATCTAGGCACAGTATATTTTTTACTAAAATTAATGAAAAATTAAACTAAAATATTTAAAAAGTATATTTAAGAAATATCTTAAAACCTAAAAAATTTCTCTCAGAAACACTGTGATGCTGAAACTATCACTTTCCATTTTATCAAATAATATATAGAGATTGTATTACACATATTAATAAATTGATAGTTGTACTAACAGTTTTCTAGAATCCCTTTACTCTAAGCAGTTAATGATCTCTTCAAAAAAGATCCCAAGATTTTGTGTTTACCTTCATCCTTTAAAGAGAATTCTGATTTTTTTTTTTTGCTGTCAGGAAACTCCTGTCTACATTGGACTAGCCAGTCTCAGTACTTTTAAAGCCTTGAAAGAAAACTTGGCACTTGGCTTATGGTGATATTGACTAGCAGTATTAGAAGATCAAAGAAAAGGGGAAATTAGACTTTAAAACTAGAAATAATCTAAAAGGAGAAATTAAATTATAACTGAGTAAGAACTATGGAAACAGTTGTGAACACATTGGCTGGCTCAATTCTGTGGATCAGATTTGAAGAGAATAAACTGTTTAGCCACCAACATTTTACCATTTTAATTTCATGTAATGAATCACTTGTGTACTTCTTACCATATGTTAACCAATACTCTCTACTATCTCTCTTCTCTTGGCTCTGGGTGTCACTCTCTTCTCTGACAATGTGAAATGTGCAGTTCTTACTGGTTGGAATTTTCTAGTCTTCTATAATATTCCCTTCTCAAAGAGCAGAGAAAATATGAAGATAACCAACAAAATGACTCTCTGAAAGTAGTGCCACTGGTGTGTAAGATGCTAAAAGGGTTACCCATGGTGGACAGGTTTTGGTGGAGCTCCCTAATTAAGACAGACTAGGAAACAGATTGGCCATCTACTTCTAAATAACAGGCCTTTGAAAACCTTATGAACACTAAAGGAATGAGGATATTTTTAGTAGTGTAATGGTAGAGCCCAGATGGGAAGTCAGTTGTAATGAGGAAAAACAATAGCAAACATTGTTTAGTAATTGTTTTGGGCTTTTTTCCCTGTTATAAAGTGATTTTATTAAATTGATTTGTACATACTGTAGGTCAAATAATATTTCCCGAAGGTAACAATTATGGACTTAAAGGCTCGACATAAAATTAGTAGCTCCAAAAGTGTTAGTTGTATTCCCCAGCAACAGTATGATAAAATAATTCAACTATGTAGAAATATAGAACTCTAGGACTAGCGGGAAACTCGAGATCACATCGCCTAATATCCTCATCTTGTGAGAAAACTAGACTCAAAGATTAAGCAATTTTCCCAAGCTCACATACCTAGTAGTAATAAAGCTAAAATCAAACCAATTTTTCCTAAAACTAAAAATCTATCAATGGTATTTCAACTGGCTCTCTATCAACTAAAATCTAGACTTTTCTCTAATGCTCCACGCTATTGTGACATGGGAATGACAGACGCTACAGTAATTCGGGTCTCAGGATTCCGGCCTGGAAGGGGCTTTATGTTATTAAATCCCCAAGTCAGCCTCTCTCGTCTGTGAAGCAACACACTGAAGGCTCGTTAGCAGAGCTGCCTGGACAGAGACGCGGGCAGTGGCACGTTTCCCCTGAAATTCCACCTTGCAGCTCATGCCCACCCACTCCACCAATGCCCTCAGACCCCCTTTCTCACGCTGAGGTTTTGATTAGACAGAAAGCCCCTTCTAGTCACAGAGAGATGGAGAGGACAGTCAGTGGTGGCTTCAGTATCCCACGAGCCCACCTCGCCGGCCGCTGGCGGACACCCGGGCCTGACTGCTACGTCAGAGCCACAGAGGGCCTCCGCTCCCGAGAGACTTCCTGAGCAAAAGGACAGTAGGAGTCAGGGAGAAGGATGGGAAGGAAACACAGTGAGACCCACGGCCGCTCCTCCTCGTCGTGGGGGACTTTGGGTCTTCTAACATTCCTTCAGTTCCTCCACGTGAGTTTTTAATATCAATTCAACAAAACAAAATAAAACAAACAGAACACCCAAGGCCTATAAAAGTCAGGGTACTGAGCAACTCAGCCCCTCCCTCCCCATGGCTCACCACCCTCCAGCCCCACAGCCCTGTCCACCATCCACCCTCTGGGGTCAAGGACTGCCAGCCGTGGGCCTTGCCCCCCTTGGCTTGCCGCCCTTCCAAAGTCTTCCTTGACCACTAGCTAAGGCTGCCCCACCCCCACCCCCCACCACGCTAAATCCTCTCTATTTTATTCTCTTCATAGCACTTAATCACTATCTCAACTACACTATTTCTGTCTTCTCCACCAGAAGGGAACTCCAGGAGAGTGGGGACCTTGTCTACCTTCCTCAGCAGTGTCCCCAGCACCTGAAACAGTGCCTGGTGCACAGGGGGCACTCCGTAAACATCGGATGGGAGATCACAAATGAGGAGGAGGATGGTTAACAACAGTCATGCCTGAGGAGGAGGCGGTGCGTGTTCCTCGGCCAGAGGGGCAGCCCCAAGGACACCTATGGATTATTGCCAAGATCACAGAAACAGAAACGACGGTCCAGCGGTGACTGCTCCTCCCACCCATTTCACACGGTCCCCTCAGCTGACAGGAGGTCCCCTCGGTGGACGGGAGGTCCCCTCGGCAGACAGGAGGTCCCTGCGACATCTCGTCCCTAACGGAAGGAACCTGAGGGGGCAGCTGGCTCCAGATGGAGCCGAGTGTTCCTGCCTGCTGCTTCCTCCCTGCTATCCACATTCAGCCACTTCCCCAACAATTCCAGTGATAGGAGGGGAAGACACTCGAAGGTTAAGTCTGACTGGCACAGACACACAGTGATTAGCAGAATCTACAAAACTAAAAACAAAACAATGTTCAAGCCAAGTTCAAGGGCAAGTAATGTCTGCCCATGACTTCTATGATAGGTTAAGGGATGAGTCACCTAAAACCTAAAGTGAAATGCAATGCCATCTAGGAAGGGGTGGGTATTCACAGGTGTGCTGAGTGGGCTCAGAAATAATGGGGGTGGGGGGTGGAGAGACATCAGAATACTAGCTCGAGGGGAGCTGGCCATTTTCGGTTGCATTCACCAGTGTACACGGATCAAGAGGGAAAGAGGAAGAAGCCCCCAGGTGGGGGTGGAACAGGGGTGACTGAGGCAGAGGAGAACAGAAGGCTACTCAGCAGGTCAGGCAGTGACTGATCTTCCACGTACTATTTCAAATACCGAGGCAGCACGCCAGAATCTGGGAGCTATCTGAAACTAGAACCTGGCTGAGAATGAGGGATTTTATGTTCAAAGCCAAGTGGTAGGATGCACTTGGCACAGACCACAAAATCGACCTCAGCGAATGTTCTGCGGAGGACCGTGGCAGACTGTTCTGGTCCCCGTGGTTTCAAGGGGGCTCCCTTCCTAGTGGCACTTGTGGGTTTTAAGCTCTTTTGTTCTTAGCGGAGCGTGTTAAAGAACCGACAGTTTGAGATGGTTCCTCTCCTTCGTGTGCACCCTCTGGTGGATGCAGAGGCTGGTACTCTGGCTGAAGGCCTTACCGCACTCGTCACATTTGAACGGCTTCTCTCCCGTGTGCACCCTCTGGTGGATGCAGAGGCTGGAGCTCTGGCTGAAGGCCTTGCCACACCCACAGCACCTATAGGGCTTCTCTCCCGTGTGCACCCGCTGGTGGATGCAGAGGCTGGAGCTCTGGCTGAAGGCCTTGCCACACTCGTAGCACTTGTAGGGCTTCTCTCCCGTGTGCACTCTTTGGTGCATGCAGAGGCTGGAGGTGTGCCTGAAGGCCTTGCCACACTCTTCACATTTAAAGGGCTTCTCCCCTGTGTGCACTCTCTGATGCATGCAGAGGTTCGAGCTATTACTGAAGCCCCGCCCGCACTCGCTGCAGACATAGGGCTTCTCCCCTGTGTGGACTCTCATGTGGATCTGGAGGTGGGAGCTCCAGTTGAAGGCCTTGCCACACTCGTAACACTTATAGGGCTTCTCCACTGTGTGGATCTTCTTGTGCCTGTTGAGTTTGGTGGTCGTACTAAAATCTTTGCCGCAGTCATCACATTTATAGACCTTCTCTCCTGTATGGTCTCACCAATGAATGTGAAGTTCTGATATGTGGAAGAAACCCTTGTCACACTTGTCACATTTGTGGGGCTTCTCAGCTGTGTGAATTTTCTGGTGCATAAAAAGGTCTGCGCGCTCAGAGAAAAATTCCCTACACATGGGGCACTTGTAGATCATGGTTCCTATTTGGTATTGTGAGTAAGAGGAGAAAGTTTCCTTACAACGACTCTAGTTACGGAGGGGTCCCGGACGGCTAGGTCCGCACGGTCTCTCACTTGGCCATGCCGGCCGCTTTTCTCAGGCTCGCTCTAGCGGACCAGTGTAAGGTGGGCCGGAGTGTCTCCGTCCTGCCTGTCTGTGGAAGGCCTCTTCCTGCATAGCGCGTCTCACTCCGTGTCGGCACTAACTAGAAAGCGGCATCTCCTTCCACACCGATCCTGTAACTCACTAACATAGACCTTCCCATTGGATCCTGAGCTGTCAACATTCCAAGGGCTCCCAAGGGGCCAACCTTGGTGTTCCTGAGCCCCCAGAATCCTCTTCTCCTCGGATAATCTCATGTGACTCGCTCCCAGAACCGGGGCTGTGCGGAGGCCCCTGCAGGTGACCGTGAGATGCTGTTGGCAGGCCCTGGTCCCCCGCAGCAACCCCCAGGAGAGTCAGTCCGACATCCCAGCCTCTCGTCATCAGGGGGGAGCCTGGCTGGGAAGCCTGCTCGTCAGGCACTCGGGCTTTGTCACTTTCTTCTGAAGACTCGCTACATGGGTACTGCTTCAGTGGCCTAGGATCAAGACAGAAAGAAATTAATCAAAACCCATCTCTCTTTTCCCTACCGACACATGGCTGCTGAGTCATTAACTGGTCTCGTAAGAAAGGGCAGGAGTGGCACGAACCTGTTTGGATCTTGAGAAAGCAGCTCTATCTTCCAGAGAGGTGTTCCACTTGGATTTGCAGGTCTGAAGAAGAAATGTGTAGACATCACGCTCCTGTTAATAACCTGAGCACATAATCCAATCACAAGCACTTACTGTAATTAGCTCAGCAAGGCCAGAGAGAGCATGACTGGAAAGGAATGAGAACTTGTCAGGAGAGCTCCTTCTGGGAAGGAATCAGGCGTCCTGCACCAGGAGCAACCAGGAAACCATGTCTACTTTGAACTTTGGGAAGCACCATGTTGTTACTCTGGGGAATGAGATGTCACAGCCATACTGCCTTCTGCTCTCCAGAATGAGGTAAGCAATACAGCCGTGACAGATGGCGTTCTCCTGCATAAAGGTCCAATGGTTTTCTGATGTCCTTAAATAAAACCCCAAATCTTTACCCTGAAAAATCAGGGCCATGTGACCACACTGCACACTCTCTCCACTGATTCATGGGTTCCTGCCTCCAATCCTCTCCTCTGCCGTTTTCTCCCAAGGGCCTTTGTGCATGCAGTCCCCTCACTGTGTGCTTCCTGTTCCTACGAAGAGAGCTCTGAGATAGTCCCAGCTGACTCTCATTTACAGCTCCAAGCACATGGAACTTGCTGTTAGCTCACATGCCCCTGCTTCCTGATCTGTCTCCTGCTCTAGACTGTCAGGGCCATGAGGGAGGGAACGCTGGGTGGTGAACTGTGATATGTAGATCAAGGGCAGATGCTTTAGTGCCACTGAGTGACTCTACCACAGAGCCCTCCACAGCCCTCGCTCCTACATCATTCTGGTTCAGAAGGTGAAGGCACACCTCCCACAGGTCCATCCCCAGTCTCTGAACAACTTACACAGAACAAAATGTCCAACAAATACCATGGAGAGGAGGCAAAGGAAGGATTCTGATCCCCAAACTGGCATCTTCCTGAGGTCTAGGTCCACACCTAAGGGGCCTTTTAATCTGTGTTCCCTGCCTAGGAAGTGATGCTTGAATCAATCCATCAGTTAGGAGACATCAACAGATCATCTTAATAGAAAATGTCTCAGGCAGGAGGTTATTGTGGAGGAAATGTTTGTCACAACAAAACCACAGGCGACCCAATGTCCACTCCCTGGACTCAGGTGGAATAAACAATGGTACACTGGCTAGCCAATGAAAAAAGAGTGAGGACGAGATGTGGAAACTCAGATTAGGAAGTAGAAAAAGCCAAGGTATGCTACATAGCATACCATGTCCAGCAAGAGAAAGTGAGGGAACACGAAGACACTTAAATATGCATTCATATGTGTAACGTTAACCTGGAGAACCATCATCTAAAAAGTCATTTAGACGTTCAGCTTCAAGGGAAGGAGGCAAAGATAAAGCAAACTCTTGGAATGCACCTTTGTAGCAGTTAACTCTGGAAACAAGAAAGCAGGATTTCAGGCGGTCGAAAGTAGGACAACGGTTCATCAAAAGGGGTAATTAATGCAGTCAACAAAATGATATTATGTAAAAACATATATGGTGATCTAAAGGGGGGAGGGGTTAAGAGCAGAGGGATGAGGATGGTTGGGGAGAAATCACAGATTTACACAATTTAGTGGATGGAGGGAGGGTGTAAAGGAAACGAGGACGATCTGGTAGGGACCTGAAAAGACAGGTAATGGTGGGCATAGACCAATGGTGATTAATTTAATAAAACATTATGAAAGAGAATGATTGTATGAAATACAATGTGAATATAGTGTGAACTAAACACTATTGTACACAAACTTTGATAATGTAAAACAAAAAAAGGGGGGATATGTTATGTATATAAAGCCCATGAGTTCAAAATGATTATACAAGGTAGAAGAAAAATCTCTAAGATTCTAAGAGGTGAGGAGGGAGAAGGAGATCGATGGGCAAGCAAAGAGAGACAAGAAGAATCAACTCTTCCGACCAAGTTGAAGTAAGGAAGGCACTTTGTCCTCCAGAACTTAGCAAGAATGAAGTACTGACTCCACCTTTGTTCTGTGGACTACTTTCACGCTAATAAACAATCCCATTAAGAATAGCCAGGTGTTAACTCTAAGTAAATACTGGATTTAGCCCATGAGAGGAAGCAAGTGAATCTAGTAGACAGGTAGACTGGGAACTTGACAGGGCCAGTGAGACACTGTCCACTCACACTTTGCCAAAGGACATACACGGCTCCCTCAGAAACAGGCAGCCCCCACAGCCAGCCAGACCTCACAAGGCTCCAGAGCTTATGTCTGTTAACAGGCACCAAGGTCAGGGCAAAGGCCCCAGGAAGCCAGCAGCAAACAGCACAGTGGGAGGCAGGCTGCAGGGCAGTGGGGCCATTTCTGCAGCAGGTAAATGGCATGAGAAAGGAGGGATGCTCCTCTGGAGCAGACAGACTGCAACTGTAGCAATCAAATGTAACATAAAGACTTTCTTCAAAACCAGACTCCAACAAACCAGTTGTTGAGACAACTGGAGAAATGTTATTAGAGGCTAGGTACACAGGCTCTATCAGGAAAGACTATGGTTACCTAAACGATGTATTTTTTTAGTGCTGGATACAAAGGTAGGGAAAAAGCGAGGCGAGCCCAAGATGTGCTTCAAAATCACCGTGGGGAAAATGGACAGCCCCATAGCCGCTCTCTCTAACAGAAGACGTGCCTGGTCCTCGTAGCACACTCACTGGAAATTCCAGCAGAGGATCAGGACACGCAGAGACGCTGACTCTGCTTAGAGAGGGGAAACACTGCCAAGTCAGTGCCCCAATATCCTGTCCGTGCCCAGGCCCTCCTACTGGCCTCCCCACCACCTTCCCATGAGAAATAAGGCGCTGCCATTCTCAGCAGGGGAAACACTGGGACACGCCCATAAAACTCAGTGGCTCAGTGGCGTGGTGGGGCAGGAGCCAGGCTCTGCAGGGAAAAAAAGGTAAAAGCAAGAGAGATTCCAGATTTTCCATGTGACTGACCAAAGAGCACAAGTAGACAATGAGGTTTAACACTGTGGCTGCACCCTGAAATGCCCTGTCCAACCGCTCGATTCAGAGAAAAGAGAGCAAAAGCGGGTCTGTGAGGTGGGACCAGTGAATGGTCAGCATGGAGGCGGGGAGTAGACTGGAGCTGTGCCCCAGAAAGCTGACTGAGCTGGACTGGAAGCAAGCCAGCTGGGAAGGAAATCAAAGAGGATCATCTTGATTCTGAAGGAGAAACTGAGTCGTACTCCTAAAGGGGCTGTGGCAACAGTTTTCAGACTTAAAAACTGTGTGTGCAGACCATGAGCCATGGCAGCGAGCAGAGGCCCCCAGCCTTGCTGCCGTGTTAGAGGTGGCAGATGCAATATCCCAAGGCGACCCTAAAACAAAAAGCCCACAGCTACCGAGGTGATTCTGGTGCATGGACCCTGCCTTTCTCCTGAAGACCACCCTCATGCATTCAAACTCCTGACCTCTTGGTCAGCAGCCCAATATATAGTGCAATACACCGCCAAGACTCCTTAAGGAACAAGTACATCTCCCAGGCCAGACCTGTGAGGACACAGGCACACAAATGGGGTCCAGCAGGAAGCGCCATTTCAGACAGCTGCAGGACCAGGTCTTCCTCAGGGCACCAGTCTAGCCAGGAGCCGGGGAGTTCGGGGGCCAGGCTCGGGTAATGAATTCCTCAGGAAAGATGGGGGTGGGAAGAAGGGCAGACAGTGTGTGAATGAAGAAAGAGGCTGAGAAATGCATTCTCACTTGTAGCTTGAGGGAGGAGACACTTGTTTTGCCTGAGTCTTCTTTCAGGGGGCTGAGGGCTAGAAGGGGTCCCTAGTGACTGAGCAGGTAGAGCTGTACTAACCTAGAGTCGGTGCTTCACTGGAGGTGTGAATCCACCTGTCGCTCTGGGGGAAGAAGATGGGCAACTCTTCCCACGTGACTGATGGCCTCCCAAAGCCCAATAGAGTGTTATCTGTCCACCACTCTTCTCCCATTCTCTCCGAAGACCCTCTCCCCCTTAGATCAGATGAGGGGAAGAACTGTCTGAAAGGAGTTATGTGACTAGACATTATAGGTATGACGACAATCTGGAACAAGGGGGCCATTGCAGGGAGGTCTGGGGAGAGGGGTAAGAAAATGTACAACAATGGTAAAAAAAACTAAGAGAAAACAATTTCAAGAAGAGTAGGGTATGAGAACTCTTGGAAACTGGTTTTTCTAACTGCTGTGTTAGCCCCTGTGGGGGCATGGTCTCCAGCTACTTTAACTGTGGAAACATGGTCTTGCAAATCATCAACAACTGTGG